CTTCAAACAGAATAGTTTGTAATTGAAGTGATCTACTGCAAAGTTATTCAGGTTTTGATTATGATCCATGCGAAGCGTGTCTCACATTTTCACCAAGATTGTGGGAACCATTTAGACTAATAGGATGAAAACCATTTGTGAAAAAGAATTGGTTTATAAAATAATATAGCGCTCAAAAAGGGATCGCTAAAATATACATATGAACTATGGTGAGAGTATTTGCAACAACCAATCTATGTTCAACTTCTTCTGACTGACTTATAGTTTATCTCACACTTTATAAAATTCTTTCATACAAAATTATTTCTATAAAACTAAGAGATAATAGTTATCGCAGTAAGGTTTTTGCAGAAGTTCTGGAAATTTACTACAGTGATGAGAACCATAAAGGTGGGGATCGTTGTGAGCGATAATAATATAAAGTCATATTTAAATGGAACATCAACAATTTTTGTAAAAATTTGTAAAAACCCTGGTATATTTTGTTCTAGTAATTAGTAATTTCTCTATGCCATCAAATTGATTTATGTTTTTATTGTGTTAATTATTTTAATTGTATAATAATTATGCAAATTTTCTGTTTTGCAGGAATAATTTATTGAATTCAGTTTTTTATTAGAAATATTTGAACCATTTTCATTGAAAGCTCTTCTATTGATGATACAATAGCAATTGTACAATATTAAATAAATTAACCTATTATCTCACATTAATTGAAAATATCTATGTAGGTACATATAGTTCTAGCATATCTATAAAGAGTTGGAACTGAATTGCTTAAATGCGAATATAAAAGCGAATGCAAATTTAAATTCCATTTTCTACATTGATCCAGATTTATCCACTTGGACATAGTTGGGTCCACTCGCTACTGGTGTAAACTGCAACACCTTAAAGAATATCACAAAGCAGCCAATCAGTCAGTGGTGCATAAATTTCCAATTAATGGCAGTAAACATCAAAATCAATTCGGAACATATGTACATATGTTTAATTCGTAATGCTTTGTAGAGAATAAAAAAATAATTGTTTGTAAAAATAATTAACTTTTTTATAAAGTGAAATTCTATAGAAATAATTGCCGTACAATTGCCGAGAGCATCTATCTATTCATACAAATTCATTGTAATTGTAACAATTACAGCAATACAAACATTTCATTATCATTTATAGCATTGTATAAAAAATTGCAAAGCAAGCAGTTATTTTATTTATTTTTAATGGAAATTGACATTTTTTTATAAACAAAATAAAAACAAAATAATAAAATTAGAACTTTTGAACGAAAAAAAGTATTAAGACTACATTGTTGTAGTTTTTACTTCTACATTTGAATGTTGATTGATTACTCACATAAATTACGAACTAATTTCATTTATATCTATTTACATACGAACGTATTTATCGAAACTGATAACTATATTCAATGTTTTCGGAGTGATATCATTGATATCATCAGCTCAACCTTTTCTGAGAAATACACTTTTTTACAGAAATCAAAATACTTAAATATTTTTTACTAAGGGTTTGTCCAAAGGTTTCCGGAGCTGCTAACTATGCATACCAGATCTTACTAAAATAAAAAAATATTTGTAGTAATAAGTTGAGAGATTTGACAGTAAAAACAGTTTACAAATTATAGTACTTTGGTCCGAACCTACTACGTAGGTAGGTTCTATATGAATACCACCTACCTATAACTCAATTACCTAGATATTTAATAATTTTTTCTTTTCTTATCCGTACATATTTTAACGTATTTGAAGTGATATCATTGATATCATTGATCACCTCAACCTTTTCTGAGAAATACACTTTTATACAGAAATCAAAATACTTAAATATTTTTTACTAAGGGTTTGTCCAAAGGTTTCCGGAGCTGCTAACTATGCATACCAGATCTTACTAAAATGAAACAATATTTGCAGTAATAGGTCGAGACAGATTTCACACTAACAAAATTATTTATAAGTCAGGTCTGAACCTACAAATTTAAACGCTTTAAAAATATCACCTATAAATCAATTACATACATTTCTATTAATTTTTACTTTTCTTATTCCAACATATTTCAACGTTTTTGGAGTGATATCATTGATATCATCAGCTCAATTTTTTCTGAGAAATACACTTATACAGAAAACGAAATACTTTAAAAATTTTTACTTAAGGTTGTTCCTGAGTTTGTTTGGAGTTGCAAAAACCATATAACTGATTTTGCAAAAATTATTTAAGTATCTTAAAAAATATGTTAAGAGATTTGAAAGCAACACAACTTACAAATTAGAGTATTAGGTAATTAGAGTATGTGAACATCAACTGCAAATCTGTTACATATATTTATAATCACTCCTCCTCCTTTTTTATCCCCATTTATTTTAGTCGTCAAACTCTCTCTAATCCCTTTCTAAATTACATACTTCCAGCTTTATAGGATTCCCAAGTGGTATAACTCAACAGCAGTTATTTTAAAAAGATATTTTTAGAACAAAGAATCAATAAACTATTTGTTAATACAAATGACCTAAGTTATTTCAAACCTAGTAATTAGCTAAACTACAACTAACAAACATATACCTATAATCAAAATCTAAAATGGATTTTTAGTAGAAGTTATGTGAAAATGGTCCCAGGAGGATTGTAGAGTTAAATATCCGTTCATATAGTCAGCTCTTTCTTCGCAAGTGTCGAAAAAATAAATGTCATATATACATTTCTATCTTATAAACTAAGAAACTGCTAACTTTAATCAAATGATATTATAAAATTAATCAATTGCTGTAAATGTAGGGAAATATATCCAATATATTTGTTTAAAAAGATCACTAAGATATCTAGAAACAGACTAAAAGACATTGTAGAGGTAAACAATGACCTTAATTGATGTTAAAGGAATCTATCTAGCAATATCTTTATTTACCTTTTAATAGAACCTAAAGAAATGTATAAATTTTAACTAAAATACCAAAAGAGTTGACCAATAGCTGTTGGGAAACCAATTCAATATCTTCATTGAGATCTGCTAAAATTGTAAGAGATATAACTACTTAAAGCAAAAGTAATGAAAAAATAAATTTATAAGTTTAACAGATAGTCAATGTAATTAAAAAGTTTTTCTACTATATTATATTATATGGTCTTGTTCCTTTGATATTTAAAATACTACATAATTTATAATTAAATCACAATAATAAATGCTACATGATTACCATTTACAATATTATAATGATTATAATGAAATCCGTCTAATATTATAAATAAGTTTGGGTAAAGTAAAAATCTAGGAAATTTGTTTGTTTATAATAATTTGAAAAAAACAAAAACTGAAATTTCAATTTCCGTATTAATATTAATAAAATATTCAAATATATTGATATAGGAGTTTTTATGTAATTTTTAATAGATCTAGAACCACTGTAAGAGTATTGTAGGCTGCATTTGTTTTAATTATATACGAGAAAATTTCCTCCATAAGCATATAATTATAATACTCGTATCTGATTAAAATGATTTCGTAGGTTTTTTTAATTCATTATCATTATCTGGGAAATAAGAAACTCATTTAATTTAAATAATCACGTGCAGAATATTTGGACTAATTTCAAAATTTTGTTATCAATTATAATAAAAATAAGCAAAATATGACTCTCTTAATAGTATTCACATGCTTGAAATCTTTAACCACAAAAAAATAAAAAAAATAAATGAGTGAATATAAATATAATTATCAAGAAATATTTCAACGCAACAGAGACCGTATATACAGATATATAGTGTGTTTTGTTTTAAGGTACATTAACTTAGAGAGGTAATTCCTTGGTCCAACCCTAGAGAACATCAATGATTTTTTTAAATACTGTACAATAAGTAAAATTGTACGTATATTAATATCGGATAGCGACCTATGAAATGTTTCATATTCCCAATCTCGTTATATACTCTGGTTTGACAAATTCAATTCAGACCTATTACTACTTATATGCGGTAACATATACGTGGTATCATAATAGACCCGTAAAATTTAAATGAGTTGGTCAATAAAATTTCTACATTTACCTAACTTTACCTAGCTGAAGCATTGCATTTTTGGCTATAAAAATGGAATTCGCGTTATAAGATATCGATATAAATATTATGTTGTAAAGTTTTTATATTGATTATTATAAAAAAAGTTAGATACGTATTGACCAATGTTGTTTAACAGTCCTCCACACAGTTGCAGTATCCTCTTCGAGACTACGGTTACACAACAAAAAAGTTCTCAACAGGGCTCTGCATTATGGCACCGGGAAAGAACGATGCCTTTTTCGTATAGCAAGAACTGTCTTGGCCCAATTAAAGTCAGGGCAAAGCTATGTGTTAAACAATTACTTATTAATGTATGCACCAACTGCAGCTTTACTACCCATGATGCTGGCCATCTATTGTTATGTTTTATTGTAAGCAATAACTTGAGCTTTAATGATCTTTCGTTTAGACCCATTGAAGTTGCAAGGTTTCTCTGCGTCGACCTTAGCTAGTTTCAATTAACTCTCACCCATTCTTCATCCATTCCGTATTTCAAACTGTTCCCCTTTTTCTAATTTACCCTTACCTAATCCATATCCTAATCCATTTATTCGAATTGCTTTCATGTCTCATGCTGTATAGATTTTCTCGGACTTACACAATAACAACAGACACCATCGTTGCTAAGTAGTATGTTAGCCCAAAACTCAACTTTGAACTTCGATATCTTAAAAACTAAGCTATATTGACATATACTGTAATAAAAGTCGTTTAGAATAACTTCATACCTTGTTAAAGGGAAACCCGTAAAATCGGAATCTTGTAAATAAATTAAGTCCAGGTACTTATACATTTGACTTTCACTTTCCAATGCTTTTCCCCACATTTTCACTCTGTTTTCCGCTTTTAAGTGATTTAATAATATATCATATAATGTATGTATACTTTATGCAGATATAAATTTTATTCAAAACTTTTTATTTTTCTTACAGACATGTTACAACTCTCATTGATGTATAATAAATTATGTTTTCCTAAACGCCAAGTAAGTTGAAAATATAGTAGTTTATTTATTAAGTTCATTTATAAACTTTTTTATTTGTTTTAAAATATTTCAGATGAAGCCAAAAACAACGTTTTCCTCCTCAACATAACAAGAAACTCTTCAAGAACGTAACAACTTCTAAAAACAAAACAAAAACCTTAAAATCATTAAACGTTTTTAAGAAAGAAGTAGGAGTGAAATAGAGCTTATTTTGTTATTTTGTTCAACAACTACAACAATAACAACAACAACATATAAGCTAAATAAAAAAATTTTACTTTTATTTTTTTTGGGGTTTGGAGAATTGAATTTGGAGAATTACGTTGTGCTTAATATATAATATTGATTTCTGTTAACATTGCATAGTATTAGGATCATTTAATATTTATTTATTTATTTGAAGTCAGTTAGTTTCTATTAAACCATTTCAACTCATACACATACACACGCACTTTGTAATATAAGTGTGTAGTAGTGTATCTAGTACATTTCTAAAAAAGTTTAAATTTTTAGTTTAATCAACAAAAAACCTCGCTGCAATTTGCTAAATCACCAAAAAATCTTGATTTAAAAAAATATTTAAAATATTTTTTTTTAATTCATTATTAATATGAAAGCTGCAAAAATGAAATTTAAGCGCAAATATGGCTGTTTGAATATTTGAAAAATCTCTAATTTTTCGAATATTTGTTTCGTAGTATTTAAGTTTTTATTCCCCTGCCTCCTTTAAGCATACATCAATCCGATTTTTATAAATTTTATAAAATCATTTCTTTAAATTATTATTGTTTTTAAGTTTGTTACTTCAAACTCAAATAGGCACTCCATTTTAGAAAAAAATTTTTTCACAAAAAGTTTGCATTTGTCTTTTAAATTTGTTATAAACAATAATTTGTATATCCCAAACTTAAGTTTTTTTGAAAAAAGAAAAAATAAAAAAAATTATAATAAAAGTTGATATAAATAAAATTAGTGCAGCTACTAGTGTAGGGTACTTGATAGAGCTAAAGTTTTAGCTATTCAAATTTTTTGTTTAATAAAAAAAATAAATTATAATATCAAACGACAACATGGAAGCGTACTCGGCGGATTTGTTGTGGATGGTCATTATTGGTTTTATAATTGCATTCGTTTTGGCATTTGGCATTGGCGCTAATGATGTAGCAAACTCATTTGGTACAAGTGTGGGTTCTGGCGTACTTACTATACGCCAAGCATGTCTACTAGCAACGATATGCGAAATTTCTGGCGCAGTTTTGATTGGTAAGAATACTTTAAATCATGATAATAGCAGTGACTTATAACTCTTTTATTGTTTTTTTAGGTTATAAGGTTTCGGATACAATGCGTAAAGGTATACTTGAAGTAGGCCTATATGAAGGATTTGAGGAGGAACTTATGCTTGGTTGTGTCGCTGCTCTGGCAAGTAGCGCTATATGGTTGTTAGTTGCGACATTTTTGAAATTACCTATTTCGGGTACGCATAGTATTGTTGGTTCAACAATTGGTTTCTCTTTGGTTGCACGTGGAACACAAGGTCTTAAATGGTCTACACTCGGTACTATAGTCGGTTCTTGGTTCATTTCTCCCGTTTTGAGTGGTTGTGTGAGCATTTTGTTATTTGTGCTTATACGTAAGTTTATATTACGCGCAAATGATCCATTGAAAGCTGGCTTTCGCTCATTGCCAATATTCTATGGAGTAACATTTTTCATAAATGTTATAAGTGTTGTATTGGATGGACCAAAATGTAAGTATATAGGTAAATGCATTTGGTAAATAGTATATATTTAATATGATTTCTTTTTGAAATAGTATTGTATATGGATAATATACCTACTTGGATCGCTATAAGTGTAAGTGTAGCATTGGGACTGTTGGTTGCTTTATTAACACAATTAGTTGTGGTTCCGATGCAAAAGCGAAATATTGCAAAACAATTACGTGCAAAAAATCCAGTTAAATTCAATTTTGAGGATTCTGTTGGTAAGTGTAATTTATTTAACATTTATTATAAAAATTAAATTTTATTTAAGTGTAATTATGGGGAAGATATTACAATAATTTCGGATACTGCTAAATATACTTAAATACTGGTCTTTTCAAAAGTATTGCAGTATACAAGCATGAAAATTTTTCTACAAAATTGTTTTTAAAGTTTGAAAACAATTAAAAAGTTAGGTTAGGTTAAACCTTACCTAACAAAGATCATTAGAGCACTACTAATTATTGGCCTATTGTTAAAGCACGTATAAAATGTTTATACGCCAGATAAAGAGGATCACTAGAAACACTTAGAAAGACTAACCGAGTCAGTGTTCATATAACGTCGTGAAAAATTATAATAAAAGTTGCGTGCAATTATATAGCTGTGATTTATGTGTTTGTTTTAAAAAAAGCAAAGCATGTTCATTGTTAATAAAACTGCAAACTTAATGGATATAAGTGAATCTGTGTTTTAATATGATAAAATATATATAAAGCATAGATATTTTGCATTATATATATTATTACTTTACATACATATATAATAAGAATTTTTTAATTTTTCTAAAATATAGATTAGTGTCAAAAGAAGTTCTTTGATATATATATACACATTACATGTATATATGTTATTGGTTTACAAGAGCACTATTAGTATATATAAAAATATAATCCATTTCTTAGTTACAGCATTTTCAACACGTAGTTTAATTACTTAAATAAATGCTTTCTAGGCTTGTTTATTTTAAACTCGATTAAAATGTAATTCGATGATTTTGTTATATTAAATATGTTGGTAGTGCTCTCCAGCACTGATAATTCTATTTCAAGATAGAGGTATTTAAAACTATTATAACAACATTGTAATATCTTGATTAAGATAATAATGATTTAGATATAGATGATTAATGAGATAAAAATACACCAAACCATTTTATGTAATTATTGTACTTAATAATAATATTATATATTAGTATATAATATTATATACTGTATATAATATTATAATATCGGTTATAATATTATGATAAAATAAAAAGTTTTTTTTTTATTAATATGTCAACTAATTTTATTACAGAATCTTCCCCGTCCGGTAGTCCCAAGAAAAATAGACGGCCATTATCGCTTGTTAGCGAAGGTAAGCAATTACCAGCAATTGCCGAAATAACTGAATTAGTTTCTCTGACTGATAATTCTCCAAAAACATTTAAACTTGCACCATATGGTATGGCGAAAAATGGCTTAAACGACAATTATAAAATTAATCCTGATATTATAAGAAAAGCAGAAGATTTGCTTGGTAAAGCTAGTTTGGATAATACCGATTTAACTATTACTAGTTTAAATTTCATTGATGAACAAAATCAATATGAACATGGTAACAATGGTTATGGTTTGGTCACTACAACAACTTTAACAACTAATGGTAAAGAAAACACTTTACAGAAACTACAAAAAGAACAACAACTACAATCATCTCTATTTAATGGCAAAAGGTTAGTCTATTGAATATATAATAATATTATATATTTTAAAAATTATTTTTTTAAAGTATTGAAAATAAAAAAGAGCTTCCAACCAAGCAAGAAAAAAATGGCTGTGTATCAAATAACAACATCACTGCCTTAGAACCAAAGGATTCAATTACAAAAAAAGATTTAAAAGTTGTTGAAAGTGGCACTAGTCTTGAGATGATGATTTCTTCAACGTTATCACCAAATTCAAGTAAAGTTCCTTTGATTGAAAGTAAAGAAGCTATAAATGAACTTAAAAACTCCGCAACCAATCAAAGTGATGAGGAAACAGAAGAAGTATCGATGCTATTCTCATTTTTACAAGTTTTAACTGCTACTTTTGGAAGTTTCGCACATGGAGGCAATGATGTGAGGTAAAAAATATAAGTTAAAATAGTAAATATAAATAGTTTAAGTAATTAATAAGTTTTAAGTTTTTGTTCCACAAGTGGGAGTAACATTTTTATGAAAATTTGTTGTTTGTCCAGAGTTTGCGCCGCAATGAAAATCAATTTAATGTCGCAAGAACTTTATTCTTTAAAATATTTATTTAATCTATTTGATTATTAATTGAACCATGTAAAATATAGAATTATCAATATATAATATTAAATTGTGATTTACATATATATTAATTATTATTATAGATACTCATTTAATTGTTAATATTAAATTAATTTTGCATTTTGTTGTAATTAATTTAGTAATGCTATTGGACCATTGATTGCTCTTTATATGATATACAGAGAGGGTTCTGTAATGCAAAAAGCTGAAAGTCCCATATACATATTAATATATGGTGGTATTGGTATTTCAGTTGGTCTTTGGCTTTGGGGCCGGCGCGTTATTGAAACAATTGGCAATGACTTAACGAAAATAACATCATCAACGTAAGTTAAAATTGTTAAATAAGTTTTTTTTTTAATTTAAAATAACAGTTATATAATTTACAATTATTTTTTATTATTGTGTGATAATAATACAACTTTCATTTTTAGTGGTTTTACGATTGAAGTTGGCGCTGCTATAACTGTACTGCTTGCCAGTAAGATTGGTTTACCAATATCGACTACACATTGCAAAGTTGGTTCTGTTGTATTTGTTGGACATATTAGTGGATCTGGAAAGAAAGCAAAAAACAGCGATGATCGAAAAACTAAGCCTAACAATGATGTGTCTGTAGAATGTGGTACATCTGGTGTTTCGACTACAGGTGGCAGTAGTGATATACAGATAACTTCAACGTCTCAGGAAATGGAGCATAATAATGGCGGAAATAGTAGTGTGGATTGGCATTTGTTTAGAAATATAGCTTACGCTTGGATTGTAACTGTGCCAGTTACTGCCATTTTAAGTGCAGCTATTATGTTTGTACTTTGCAGCATTGTTATAGGATAAATTCGTAGGCAAAATTTGCTGCCGAATTGATGTATACTTTAGTAAAGAAAAGCATTAATAATATAATAAAATATATGAAATGTACAAACTTATTTAAAAGTTTGACATATTTATTGATTCCGTTCTGTTAAATTCGAAAAAAAAATCAAATTTTTGTATTGCAAACAAATTATTTATTATTAGTACTTAAATTTTAAAAATATACAATATTATATTAAATAAAAATTATATGGTTAAAATTAAAAAAAAAAATAATCATAAATAGATCGTCGTTGTTTATAAATTTAAAGTAATAATTTAGAAGTCGTTATGCAGCACATAAGTAAAAGATATTACAAAGTTAAAAATTAAAATAAAATAAATATGTTAAAAGTTATAAATAAAAAGTGGCTTATAAAAGTATTTAATAATCTTAAAACCAAATTTAATTTGGCTAAAACTAAACTGTAACTGTTTACTATTAATTCTTTTAAGAAAAAAAAAACTAACTTTGTACTGCATATCGGCTTTAACTCAGTCATTTGTAAAGTTCAATTAAGAGCAATTTTTGATATTTTCTTTTATACTAAAGTCAATGCAAATGCATAAACAAACTAATATATAAAACCATCTAGTTATAGCAAAATATTAAATAAAAACTAAAAATGCTCCAGATAAGACGTTGAAAATACTGATAATTGTGATTTCAAAATTTTTATAAAAATATTTGACAAATTTTTTAATATTTTTTTTTCAAATTGTATAACTACAAATATTGATATATAGTTAACTTTTCATTTTTTTGTAAATTAAATGCAACAAAACACCCAAAAATTAACACTATTATTACAGCAAATTACAGCAATTATTTTTGATTACTTATATATAAAAAATTATTTGTTAAATTTTATTAAATAAAAATTAAAATAAAATATAAAATATTTTTTTTTTCACATTTCAACTTTATTAAAATTATTATTTAACAACAAATTATTTTTAACCACAAAATTTTATTTAAATTTATAAATATATGTTGCTTTTAATTTACAATTTGTACTTTTTCTGTTCTAATTGATTTATACACTTTTGATTTATCTTACATATATATATACAGATTACACTAAACTACTTCCAACACTAAAGTAACTTAAACTTAAAGAACAAGAATTTATTGTTTTAAAAAAACACAACACTACTTAATAAAAACAAAACACTTTAAAACAACACACTACTTAAAAACCAAAACTAAAATACTATTTAAAAAAATACTTATGTTTAAAACTAATGTACTTAATGGTAATTATTGAAATGTAATGATATTAATGTTATCAGTAAAATCATTGATAAAAATGTGCTAAAACTAATTGTTATTAAAAAATCTTCTGTTAAAAATAAATACCTACATATGTGCTTTGATCCTTTTTGAAAAACAAAATTAATCAATAATATATTTTTAATGTTTGCAATTATTTGTTGTTCATTTTATTAATTTATATCTGCTGACAAGGCTTTTTTTTTGTATAATTTGCTAAAGGAATTAAATCAGACATTGAAAATGTCCAAATTATAAAACCTAAGGTTCATATAAAGTGAAGATACATTTGTAATTTTTTAATAGTCATAACAAAACTAAAAATTTACTTTTTCTTAATTAATTAATTAAGGATTAATGACTGTCCCTATGCCACTCTTTTTATGAGAACAAAAATTATAAAGGATAGCGAATTCATAAGTCGATACTTACTAAATGTCTATATAATTTAATTACGAATTAAATCTATTCACTTCTGTTATTGTTGTAACCCACTAAGACCTGCTTGTAAAGTCTCTTTTGGAGTTGTTGAAAGGTACTTTATCGTCGTTGGCGACAAGTGGCTCCGGGACGTAGACCCGACCATTCGTGGAACCCTTACATAGAGTACTATGTATTGCTTTAAACATCTTTGGAAGTTGTCCCAACGATAGGAATGGAGAATTATAATGATAGCATAGTTACGACAATAAACATGTTTCGTTATTCTTAAACATTGCAAAAGAAAATCATTTAACATTTAATAATGAAATAATAAATGTATTTCTTAGTTCATTTTATGTGTATTTGTGTGCACACAAGTTCGGTAATGATTAAAAACTCTCAAGAAAAACTGCTGTATAAATATTTTCGACTATAAAATAATAAATGTATCTCTTAGCTCAGTTTATATATATTCTTGTGCGAATCATTTATTCTTTAAATTTTTAATATCCTTTAATAATTACCATGCTTTATTGAAATTTTGTCAATTGTGAATTACCACTATTTGCTTTAGTCAAGCATACCGCTAATGCTCAACAATCCTTAACTTCAAGAAGAACCAATTAAAAAAATAAGAAAAAAAAGATTTTTAATGTCAAAAGTTAAATTTATATAATGTTGTCAGCATATATAAATCATATTTTTATTTTTAAAGATATCTTCTTCGATTTAATAATTTTAAAAATAAAGTTATGCAAAAATGAGTTAAGCAATATAATAGAATTACTTAAATTTAATTAATTTTATTTAACAAAAGCAAATATTGTTCAAAATAATACATGTTTATAAATAAGCTTCCATTCCAAAGGATTAAAGTATGTACTTTTATATTTGAAACAAACAGTAAAGCCTCAACAACGGCAACAAAAAATAAATTTGTTATTGTTTATTTTTGTATTTTCTAAAAAAAAGAAATAATGAAATAAAATGTTTGTAGTTCGTATTTAGTTTTTAGTAAAAATTATAATTAACCAGAAAATATTTAAACAAAAAAAGCATTGTTAAAATAATTGTTTGTGACTATTATTAGTTACCAACATACCAAGAATGTGTCAATCAATATTCAATACCTTTTTGTTAAATATGAAGTAAAATATTTTGTATAAATTTTCACACCTACTACAAAACTCAAATACCTAAAAACTAAATTGTGCTAAATTGCCCCTGAAAAATAATACACAAATGCCAAGCCAATAAACAAAACCAACAACTCTTTTTCTTTTTCTGTTTTTTTTTTTTTTTGAAAACAGTATTCAACTTAATTTGTCTTATAAACAATAACAAACGTATAATTGTTAAGATCAAAGCACCAACAAAAATTTCTTCTAAAAATAATTAACAAAACTTGTATATTTAATTTATTTTAAATATATATATTTTTTCCAAGAAACTGAAATAGTAAAACTTATAAATGTCCTTAAACTCAAATCAATGATATTAAAAAAAAAAACAAAACCATTGGTAAACATTATATATTTTAATTAAGTAACAAACAAAGAAAAATGTAATTATTTAAAGAAATAAAAAATAAAGTTTGAGAGATATTGTAACAAGTTTCTATAATTTTTTACTTCAGCTACTTTATAATCAAAGACTACATTCATACTTTCATATTGACTTATTCAATATGAATATAATGAATATTATAAATATTATTAAATCTTTCCATTCTCAATTTTAACAAAAAATGTATAGTCAACTTTTTATCCGGAGATACTTGACTTGTTCACATTAAAAACTGCTTCAGCGATTTATACTGGCGGCCACCAAAATAGCCAGAAAGAAGAAGACCTCATCTAAAAATTTCTCCAAAATAAAAACAAAAGAACAAAAATAATAACTATTTATCATAACAAGATTAATAAATTAATCTCATTTATTAAATTAACAATATTATAATAATAGCAGAAACCGTTTCTCAATTGACAGCCCGAGCAAAAATATGTTTTTCAACAATCTTTTTTTACCTCATAGGTCAGGAAAAATTAACAACCCCAGTTATTAACAAATTAACTAATTATACTCTCAGACTGTCAAGCTGTTTTAAGGTCGTTGAATTCAGTTAAGATTACATCTACAATTGTTTGGTTTCTAGACAGTGGCGTCGCTAGGCGTCAGCGATGTCGGCGACCGCCGACGGCCTCGCGCCCGCAGGGGTCTCGCAAAAAGTTACCGACTGTGGATTCTAAGCACTTAATAAATATTTTGAGCAATTTGGTTTGATAATGGCATTAACTATATTCGAAGTATTCCCTAATGTTTATATAGTAATCAGATTCATGTTCACAGTTCCAGTCAGTATAGCTTCGACGAAAAGAAAGAAGCAAAGTTAAAATTGTTTAAGACGTACTAGAAAAATATGATGGTCCAAGATAGACTATCTTCATTATGATATAATTTAAAAAAAAAATAGGGTGATACTAAAAGTAGGAAAATTCATATATTTTAATTTGTGTTTATTTTAAATTGATTAGCAATAAAACTTTCAATCATGCTTTGTCGTATTAGTGAATGTAACTTATTTACTTTTACAACTGGGTTATAAAGGGGGCCCCGCAATTCTGATGTCGCCGACGTGCAGAGTTGGTCTAGCTCCGCCACTGTTTCTAGATGCTACGAGTCGCTGAGCAAGGTGTCGACATGGTTTAACATTTTCATTACTTTGGGTTTCTAGTCACAGGAGATTAGCTACCCAGACAATTTTCATTAAATATGTATTGGGAGCATCTGATAGATATGTACATGAATCAGCCTCTATAGAACAGTTTAATATAAAATGGGAAAGATCAATGATTTTTGATATAGAAAAAAATCTAACGATCTCATTAAGATGTATTATCAAGATATCAATTTAATAGTAAGTTTTCTAATGCATCACTGTTAGGAAATATATATTTAGATATGTATGAACTGAATTAATCTATTTATATAATATAACATTTCAACATTTTTTTAGAGTTCTGTTACTTTACAGCTTTATTTTATTAAATTTATCTATTCTATTCCGTTAGAAACTTTTGAAACTAGTATCTAAACTAATTAATAGATTTAAAAATAAGTACGCACTTATCTCGTAAATCTTTGTATGGATTTTGTATGGAAAATGTGACTAAATTCTACATTTTTAATGATTTAAGTACCCTTGTCAAAACATATTAGTATAATAATATGTATGTTAAAACTTATTATTTTCGAATCTGTTTGTCATATTTTTGAACGAAAGGAAACATATTCCACCAGCTATTTGCTCATTAATGTTTTTAATACTAGTAATTTTGTTTTTTCAAATGAAACGAAATAAAAATTCAAAATTCAGAGCAATCAAAATAAACTTTTTTATGTTATTAGTGCTATTAGAGTGGTAATTTTTTCAATTTGACATTATATAAATCAGCGTATTATTAAATTAATTAAACAAAGAGTATAAGTTAGCACCGTTTGTTCAAACCACCTAAGCACTTCCAATTATATGAATAATTTATAACGACAATAATAAGAATTTTGAAATCAATATTTATAGAATATTTAATTTAATGTAAATGAGAATTATAATAATTTATTATTTTAATATATTAAAAAAAGTGCTAAAAAATAAAACAATAAATTTCTAATAGGTAATTGAAAATATATGCTCTCAACTATTTATTAACACAATTTATATTCAATACTAATGAATTGTTTTTGTTTCATTCTAAGTAATGAAAATTGATGTTATTAAAACTAAATATATTAATATTAAAATCTTTTTTATAAGCTATACTTATGTATTTTTATAAATAGTTTTAAACAAACAATTTTTCAAAGTATAGTATAACCAATGACAATGAAATAAAATAAAATGTTACCGTGGAACATAAAGTGCTAAGCTTTACCTTTTAATATTTGTTGAATAATTAATAATCAGTCGATAATTAAAAAAATTCATAACAGTTTTTTTAACAACACATTAATAATTGTTGTAAACAAGAACTTTTTTTGGTTATTAAATATAAATAATAATTAAAAATAAATAAAATTGATTTATATTTATAATTCAAAATAAAAAAATAAATAACTAAAAATTTAATGAATCATCTATTAATTACAAATTATATTACACTTTTAAATAAATTAACAAATAGTGATATTTGTATGTATATATATTTAGTTTTAATAAATGTATGTAAGTACTTAAAAAAAACTTAAAGGATGGAAATCTTAGATTAATTTTATGATAAGAATATGTATTGTATGATATGTATGTAAGTGGCACGAGATGTGAGTTGCACGAGAGTAGCAAATATACAGGGCTTGTAAGCTTGTAAATTTGAGAATAGTTTTAATTGTTTTAAGGTAGGTACACATTGCCACTAGCAAAAATAAATAAGCAAATATTTTTTTACATCCATGAATTTTTATAAAAAGTGATCTGCTTAAAGCAAAAAAAAAAAATTAGCAACAATTTCCTTTGCATAGTAAAGTCGCCATATAAACATTAATTCCAAATACATGTTCTGTTCTTACTTGATTTAACAGAATTGTACTATTAATTTCTGTTAAAATCATAATAAAGTTATGGCATCAAGAAAATGTGGATAGTTTGATTGGCTAAAGTAAATTGTTGTTGCGAACCTCTTGATGGTGCACTTGTTCAAAAGCTCTTAAATTTTGCAGAGCGCACTGTGACATCTTATTGCATTTATTATTTTATATTATATCTTATAGATAAATTCTGAAATTTCAAACTGTCACTCACAATAAGCAATATTGGACTCCAATAATATGGAGCCCAATTTTGGGGTACTCCAGTAGGCTCAAACCTGGCAATTATCCAGCGTTTTCAATCTTAAACACTACGAATGATTACAAATGCACATTGGTATATAACGAATGAATAGCATCATAAACCACTACGTGTTCCGACAATTAAGGAAGAAATATCTCATATTATAAAGAATTGCGCTCATCGCATAAACCCGCTGATAACACACCTGATGTCCCCCACCAACACTTTTATAAGGCTGGAAAGAGAAATGCCGAGAGACGTTTTAGATATGTATATGTAAGTCATACATTTCAATTTTAAGTATATATGGATATGCCACTGGGCATAGTCCATACGCACCTTTCTTTTTTCAGATCGTAATAATTATTATTACGATTCATATTAAAAATATTACTTCTTCTCATTCATATCTGACAGATTATAATAAAATAAATGGATAAAAAAAAATTTTTTATAGATTAAAGAGTAAGCAACATTAAAATTATTATCATTTCAGAGAGAACCTTCAATAGAATTGGATTTTTAGTACATACATACTTTACTACTTGTCTTATATTTAATTTTTTTAATTTCAGTCAATAAATGCTAAATTTGTTCGCATCTACGAAAATGAGTTAAATACGAGTACTTTAAAATAACGTAAGATTTTCAGTAATTTTTTTATTAAAAATTACTGAAAAATAAGAATTTTTAAAACTGGATTGATAAAAATTTAAAAATAAATGATATTGAATTAAAATTTTATGTATATTTTATTAAATTTAAATTTTATTTAATTGCTTGAAATTGGCTTCTACATGTGCACTTATTTTTGAAAAAATACTGTTAGCAAAGATCGTAATATGTTACTGTATAATAATACGGTCTTTTCTACGATTTGTAGAACTTAAAGTTTGTTGTTGTTAGAGTTTTTATATATTATTACGGTCTTTGCTACGATTTTCAGAGCTTTAAGCTAGCTGTATATTAATTGATTTGTTAAAAAATTGTTAACTAAATGAAAACTTTTTTAGTTGAAAGTGCTTTAAACTTGTTTCGCAAAGACCGTCTTTATTTTTTATCTTGAAAGCTTATCGAGAGTAAACCTGAAGAGTGCTTTCCTTAATGTAGCTGTAAAGCAGCAACAAAAGTGTTGATGGCTTAAATAAATGAATGCAACATTTAAAATAAGTATGTGTGCTGTGTTTGGAAGAACTGTGGTGCGCGGGGTTTCAATTTAACCGAAAGCAAACTAATGTGCTTACAATATTGCTAAAGTCACAGTTGAGTTTCGTTCTTTGTAGCGGTCGGTTGTGTTTTATTTTATTTTCTTCCGTGTCGAAACCGTTTAAAAGTTAAGCTCAAACGTGGTGAGAAGTAGAAGTTGATTTTCTATTTCGGTTTTTTTTTCAACGTTACTGCGACGTGAGTGAAGAAGTGCTGATGCATGCTTGCATTATGAAAATATAGTAACAACAATATTTAAACTAAAATACAAACAATAGTAAATGAGGCAACATTCATAATTTTCAATTAAGTCGATTAAGACACTTGCACTAGTTTTACGTTAAAGTTAATTTCAGTTACTTTTTAACAGTGCTGCCAATTGCGCTGTTAACTTACGTTTAGAACGGTCTCTTGTGATTGTTGTTTTGTTTAATAAATAAATTTGCATGATTCAGTACAATGTGTTTTGATTAATTTTTTTTTTTCTCATTTAATATATTTGGTTTTAGTGTAACATAAAGTGTTTCGTACAAAATATTTCATTTTCAAAACTTTGTACATTTTAAAGTTATAAAGAGTGAAGTATTTATGTGCTTTGATTTGTTAACTTCATTTAACTGTAGAAAATGATGATGATGATGATGACGACGATGATGATGATGTGAAACTTACTATCTGATTTATTTTAAGTGTATTACTTAATGTTGCCTCCTGCCATTTAAATCCGATTTACGTGCATTGAACTGATTTCATGTGTAAGTAGCTATTTATGACATTTGCTTTTTAACAAAAAAAAAAAAAAAATTGTATAAGAAAGAACTTTATAAGGTTTAATATATTGTTGTTATTTGTATATTATTAATAATGACAAAATACTTATTGATAATGTTTATTCAAAACATAGACTTAATAAACATAAAAATTGAATACCAATAATTATAACAATTATATACATAATATAATAATAATAATTATAATAATAAAAATGTATTTATTAAAATAATTATTAATGTTCTTATATGTTTTAAATATTGCCGGGTTTTAGGTCGTGTTTTTTTTAATAACTTGTATTATTTAAAAAATAAACTTAAGATTAAAAAAAATATCACAGTTGTTAATTTATGTAATATATTTTATTAACAGATATTTCGGTCTAATTCGTAGACCATCCTCATTGTTATTACAATTATAATAATTATAATAATACAATTATATATAATATAATTATATATAATACATTTATAATAAGTTTGTTATTTATATAATACAAGTTATTATGTAAAAATATAAATTTAAAGACACGACCTAAAGCCCGGGAAAATTTAAAACACACAAGTATTGAGGTCAACACTAAAACAAATATTTTATTATAATTATTAGTTTATTTAAAAATTTGTTTTTTGTTTAAAAAATTTTGATTTAGAAAGTTTATACTTAAAATTATTACTTTTAATTTTGAAATAGGTTAACAATTCCGACGGAATATTGATTAATAACATTTATATTAATTAAAAATAATTTGAATTATATTCGAATTGATCTGTCATAGAAATTATATACATATTGAAATTATAATTTAAGCATTGATAGTTAAAAGAATTATATAAAAGTTCCTTAAAGAATAATATATAATTTATTCCATTGAATTTTATATCGAAACAAAATTTGTAGTTTTTAAAAGTTATAGTTTATTTATAGTCTATTTAATATATATGTGATTTAAATATATATGTTATATTGTGTTGTTTTAGAAAAAAACTTATTTCAGTAAAGGCATGATAATATTCACATGATATTTACGAACAAAATAATTTAAGGACACTAAAGAAAAAGTTGAGATAATTAATTAAAATGCACATGTTTTTTTAAATTATTGCTTTGGGATCTGTTCTCTTTGCTATTTCCCAACATCACAATTAAGGAAAAAAAATTGTAAATAATTATATTGGTGTATATTATTAACTTACTTTAATCGCTATTCACCATTTGCACGAATGGTAAAGTTATCTTACTCATCTTAAATCTTAAAACCAAATGATTTTAGCGATTGATTAACATGATAATTAATGGTTGCGTCATTATCACGATAGATTAGACTAAATGACGCTAAATATGTAGACATCGTCTTCAATCGTGGTGGAAGTATATATGAAGGAATAAAAGGTTTTTTTTTAAACATTTCTATACTTTTGGATTTGTTGTATTAAAGAACTTATAAAAAATTTATTTAATTTCCATTCACAGATTTTGACGATTTTCAATAGGGCCTGATAATCTAAATTTGATAGTTAATTTCTTCCTTCTTCGTTCGTTGAAATTCCGAAATAAATTTGTTTCACTTCAAACTCTCTCGAAGAGTAACGAGATTTGATTAGAGATTTTGATTACATTTTAGAAATAAAATATTAATAAGAAATTGATTACTTGCTTAAAATATAAATATAGGCTATCACACTAATACTAGGATTAATGTAGTATGAGTCAAAAAATGAGTTAACCGTATTACAATTTAAATTTTTGTTATATACGTACATTTTTTTTGTTTGGTACAACGAATTGGGACGTACTTCGAATTTACTTCGAATTTAAGTAAAACAAAAGCAAGGTTATTAAAATATTGTAAAATTACCAATTAACATTACTATGTTTAAAACCAGAAGTGTAGTTTTATTTTTCTGTATTTAAAAATTAAAATTTTTAAATGTCAGTGACTTTTTATTTTAACACTTTTTATTTGAACATAAAAAGACTAGCTTGTAATGAGCAGATCGAATTTGGGAAGTAGTTAAATTATTGTATTTAGTTCGCAATACATAGATTGTAGATACTTTGAATAAAGAAAGTTCATTTAGTTAGTTCAAGTACGTAAGACTGTACGGAATAAAGAGTGCTTCGAATGAAGTAGTGTATTGATTTTATAAATGACTTATAACCAAGAATTTGAATAAAGAGATGATTAATATAGAAAAAAATAAATATTTATTACTTTTTAGTTATAATTTAACGTCAGTTATGATAGAAGTGACTATTTTACTTAATAGAAACTATTGTATTTGGTAGAGAGATTTCGAAAAGTAGCGAACTACAATAACAAAAAGTCTTTTTATTATTTTATTAATTAATTAAATTTTTGGCTAACCATACTATATAGCTGTTTCGAGTATTGACAAATACCTATCATCTTGGACCCATCATGGTCTTGGAAATTATTTCTTATATTTAATTATACGTAAATATTTTTTTGAGGCTGTACTTACCAAGGGTTGAACTTGTGCAAAAATTTATTTACAAATTCACTTGCTGTGTTATATTAGAACAAAATCGAAAATATTTATTACTTGATACTTGTTTTTCCATGAAATCTAAAAACTATCAACAATATCGAGACTGAGTAGGTTAATGAATTTAAAGATTTTTCATACATATTTAGTTTTAGGGAGAGGCTTGAGTTTCAATGTTTCATTTCCAATGGGAACTATTGATAAACGTTAGCATTCGACAGTTTTCTATACTGGAGATGTTGCGGAGTGAGTCGAAGAATGGCTCATATACTAGAATTTGAATGTTAAAAGTCTGGACAGTAGCATAAAAGGCAAAAGAACAGGAGTTATTATGGTACAAGTCTAACCTAATTAAGTCATTGTAACATGTCCGTGACATATCTTAACTTTACATATGACATCAATTATCAAAAGTTTCCTGTTTAAATTTAAGCTGCTAATAAGAAACAAACAGATTTTTTTCCTATGTTAATTAACAAGTATTGCTATTTATTCCATCAATTTCATTTATACATTTTTTACTCAAAAATTAAAAAAATTAATTTTTTGTGTTTGTTTTTGACTTTAACATGCATTGCTATTTATTGGGAATCATTACAAATTTAAGATATATAAAAATATTAGCTAACTCATACAATTTGATGGTCTAAGTTAATGTAAGAAAGACTTTTCTTATATTTTTTTTCGAACTTGAGTTTATTCTACAATTATTGTAATCAATCTTAAATACCGATTCGAAAACATAATCTCATTTTTTATCTTTTGTCTTAGCATTGAGATTAGATTCTGTATAGCAATCTTTATTCTATAAATAGTAATCAGCTTATTTGTGACTAATGTTTATTAAGATACCTTTGCAAAACAACTAACATTTAATAAACTGTATTGGAATGTTGGTAACAGTTTCCGTAGCACGGAAGTTTAAACAGTATCTGCTGCAGCAACAATAGAGTCGTAAGAAATTTGCAATTACTCCGTGAAAAAGTGGCAGGGGCAGTCAGAGTAACTCATATTAAAAGATACAAGCAGACAAGTTAAGATTGTTCGTTTTTCTAAGCCGCATGAACGTTTTCATAACTTTTAACAACAAAACTATGTACAATACATTGGACAGACAATAGATGTTAGTTTAGTTGTACTTGCTAATTCAGTGTTGGATACTACAAGTAACTGGAAAAGATCAAGCAGTACTCGTACCAGCAGCAGCAGCATCTGTACCAGCGACTTTGGTAACAGCCTCTGCTCTAAAGTGAGGTATTGCAAATAGTTTTCTTGCATTATTTTATCTTTTTTTTTGTATTTTAGTATATGAATTTAAGGCGTGGTTGCACATGCGGTTTTGGAATTTGCACTATTTTCTTCAATTTTTTTATTTATTTATTTTTTATTTTTGTTTTTTTTTGATTTCTTGTGGTCGTAACTACTAGTGAACGTCACTAAAAATATTTTGTTTTAGTTTTTTATTGAAGACTCCTTGTAATTGTTAGTTGGCCCCTATCTGAGTGCAAATTTGAATTCATTAAAATATTGAAAGCAATTATTAAGAAATTTTTACATTGCTCAATAATTTACAAAATTCGAAAGCTTGAAATATTTTTATATTATTTATTGATTGACTGAAAATTAATTGTCTTTTAAGACGTATGGTATGGTAAATTTATGAAAAAGAAATGTGTAATGGGAGCGTTACACATACGTGGAAAAGTAAAACAAAAATAATCAATTAATCTAAATTCAATTAAATTTAGATAAAATATGCGTACGCATCTGTGCATTGCATTTGTAAACTCTTTTGTACAAAATAACACTGAATATCAATCGATTAATACGTGCTGTATAAATGTAAATGATATGTAAAGTAGTTTTTTTTTATTTATATTCATCTATTATTAATGTGAAATAATAATTTATTTTTTTTTTATCTTACTATAATAAAAAGCGTTGAAATTATTAGATTTATAAGTCAAGAGTTTTTAATATGGTTTAATGAAACAGATTCATAATCTCTTAACAGTTATGAGATTAACACTTGAAATTTATTATAAAATTCTTTTATTATTAATGCTGGAGGTAAAAACATTATATGATTTAGTATTTGTAGCTCTAATTATTTTTGTAACCAATCTACACTCCAAATGAAATTAATTTTACTAGCTTTCTCTAAAAATTGTATATATGCCATAAGACCTATGTTGAATTATTTTTCCTGTAATATATGACAAATTTTATTTTGTTAATATATATTAAATTGGATTTAAGTATAATAGGTATAGTTAAAGTCTAGCTTTTATTAAAAAAAAAAGTCAAATACATTAATACTATTATTTTCGTTTCAGCGAAATTTAGTTTTTTTTTCCATACAAAATTCAGTTTTGAGGTTAGAACGAAATTAAGAAAATGGTCTTAATTTCGTTGAAACGAAGGCTTGAATTAAGGGATATTTCAAATGCAACAATGCTTAAGATAAATTTTAA